GTAGTTAGGGCTTATAGTAACCTCTGAAGGACTTACCTAGTCGGCTGTCGGCTTTGCAGATTGCCGCCACACAGGCATTCTACTTAAATTGCCTGAGTCAAACTTTATTTTGTAGCGCGTCCACGCTAGTAGTTTTAGGCTACCCAGGCAGACTAACACACTTACTTCTGCAAACTTACGCAAAAGAGAAGTGAAATGTTGACTGGACTGAAATGGTTCGTACCACGACTGTACAGAGGGACGAACCTCGGACCGTCCCATACTCGACGGCTGTCCACTTGCAAACTAGCTCGACAATACCGCGCAGATCTAGTCTCAAACGCGGGGTCGATTGGCTTTTGCCAATTTTTCGAGCTGTCGATTTGCTAGCGGCAGCCTAACCGTGGCGCCCCAGAATAGCAGAGGCGTTGCATGCAAAACCCCCGAAGTTCCCCTTTTTGGCCAAGCAGTTTTCGTGGGCATCAGTTGTGCAGTTCAATGGCTCTTGCATTATTCTAGTTGGCCTTCCAATCTCCCTGAAGCGTTCTGATTTGCTGTTTGCCCCCAGCACTAGAGGCAGCGGACCTGCCGAACTGCTGGAAACCCCATCTGCTGACTCCTTCACAATTTTAAACCCGGAGATTTTAGACACACATGTTACTGGTTCGCTTTATTATTAAGCAGCATGTTCGTGTCCAGGTAGGGCTCTCACGTTTGCTCTCGCGCGCGTCAAAGGAACCTAAGACGCGTATGGTGAAAAATCATCGCCTACCTATCGTTGCAAACACTGCGACCCAGCCAAGTATTCAACCGAGCATAGGCTTTCTTCTGTGTGGGCCTAGTTGCTCAAGGATTGAGCCTAGCCATAGCTACCTCGGAGCAACAATTCCTAGAGTTTCCCGAAAAGTAGGGCACGATAGAAGGAGTTTTGCGAGAGAAGCTCTTCTCGTCCCATCCTGCGAAATGCCTTCATGAGGTGTAATGTGGCACCCCTGCTTTTCATCAACCTTGTTGTTGGGCTGTTTTTGCACAATGCCAGTAGTTAACGCACCTTCGCCTTTTATTGAATTGCTGTGCTGTCCAGCTTTACGAAGTTTTCGCCTCTCCAGCATTCTCCATGACCTCTCGTCAGCCTGTAGCTGATTGCTCTTCAAGGTCGGGTCAAATAGCCCCGTTGATATTACACCGGAACAAGGGGCGCGTGCCATGTGTGGAGAACTGGGAAGCCAACGAGAGGAGACAATGCTCGACGTGCTTCCGCTGCGGTCTCTGTTGCCAAAACTTGAGTGCACAGTTGTCCAGTGAAGCTTCGGGATTCCTTTTGGTTTTAGGAACTTAGTGCGGGGGGGAGTCGATCGAACCTTGCCAGGAGGCGCAGACATAACTACTGAACCAGTGGGTTCGCAGGCTGGCTTCTTGTTTCCATCCAGCTTTCTAAGTACTGCAGTTGCTGCTGTGTTCAAAGTGGGTCGTAACCCAGTGGATGGCATCACATGTACCAGCTTCCCTCTAGGAATCTTTCTGTCGAGCTGCATCTCCGACTACGCAGCGAAGATAAATTCCCCCCAGTTTGTCACAAAAGCAAGTTGGAAGTGTTCTTCGAGTTTCACACGCTTTAGCATATTTTGTTTAGTGCCTGTTCACTTCGCAGTAATATTTCATGATATGCCTCATCTGCTCCAGAGCTGGCAAATTCAAGAGGCGCTTTTGTTACTGGTAATGCAGTAATTCCTTCCGTTTCGGCTCATTACTCTTAACTCTACCGCTCTTGTCTGTCCAATGTGCCCCCACATTAGTAGCAAGACGGTAGATGAACCCCCTATCTTGGTCGCCGCTCCGGTGTATCTGACGGCGCAGAGAACCGTCGTAATCCTTCTGCTTATAGACGAAGTTAGTTCTGCAATATTCTGCGGGCTTTGTAGCTAAGATTCCTTTGCTATGAAAGTGCTTACAAGCCCCTGAAGACCGCTTTCTTTACTACGAAGAAAATGAAGAGTTGAGTTGTGGGATGGATGGCAGCCACGACGAGGGCCTGCAGCGCGATCAATATCTACTGATCTGTAGTTTCCAAAACAGATTAGAACAAAATTGAAGCCTCCATTTAGAAGTTCTGTAGAGAATATCGAACTTGGGTCTGTTCTGCTTGCTCGATCTATCGTTGTGCACTGTCTCTAAAGTAGCCCCAATGGCCAATCCCTGTGTCATGGTGCGAATAAGCTTGTGCCGCCACTATGTGCGTACTTTCCCGTTGCTTGAAAGTCAATTCTGATTCCTCTTCTACAATGCAAATCCTGGCAGCTGTGTATATATGCCGGGCTCTCTGTGGTGCCTTGCAATGCGGGTCCTCTACGGGGAGACTCGATGGCACACGAATAGCATCCAAAACGGTTCAAAAAGTGCTTGAGCTGGTCACTTCAGAGAATGGAACAGAAATAGCTGTTACCTTCAGGAGGGATCCAACTGTTCAGAATGGCCCCTTAGTACACGTTGGGTGCCTGTAGTACGAATTTGTAGGAAAAAAGGGAATTTACAGTATGCCTTCAGGAAGAAGTCAGCTGTACGGGATGGGGATCGGTGCACTATAGTTGCACGAGATTGCTGCAGCTCTTGCTGCAAGGCAGCACTAGGTTGCATTTTGATGCGAGCAGTAATACTTTAGCCAATTGTTAAACGCTCATCTGGCCATTAGTAGCCAGCCTGTACGCAAGTAGAAAAGTACGTACCAGCTCTACACAAACCGAGCTACACGTGATGTGGCGTTGCCATATGCAGACGAACTTGGATCCCCACGGGACCTCTAAACGTTTTCCAGTTGAAGCACTTAAAACAGAAAATGCAACTATTTTTTCGATACTGAGGGGACGGCCACTTGCAAGGATGGAACAGCAATCGGATGCAAGTCAACGATGGTGTCCAGGATGGTTCCTTTGTACACGAGCAGCCCTTCTTGTAGAAGGGGGTGGCCGCTAGGTTGAAGGGTGCAATACAAGACAAATGACGACCCAAGGCATTTGCCAGTAACTGCCATGGGCCATAACGACTGACTGGGAAGCGCACGAATCGCCTTTGTCTCCGTGCAAGTGCGAGGCTCTTGCTTTTAAGAGGGCACTGCTGCCATCTAGGTGTTGCTACGGCCGGAAGGCTACGCGACAAAGTGATGCTGATTCATATCACTGGAGAAGAGGCCACTGGGGGCCTCTTTGAGGGGTGCTTGCACAACAAGAATTGCTTGCTGCTTGTCACCCTCCAGACGTAATACCTAAGGAACGACTACTCGCTGTTTGGAATCCTGCAGAGGCTGACGATGGCTAGGAGTACAAGGAAACTTCGTGCACCTGAATAAGGCTGTCAATGAGGAAATCTTTGCATGCTGCCCCAGAGTATCCATAGATTTAAACATGATGCTATCCTTCACACTTGCGAACGCTAACCTCACAAGCTGGAGAACCGTTGATGATAGCGTGTTCCAGTGCTGCGGAATGTCCAATATCTAGTGATTCTTGCGCACAGCGAAGCATTTGTCACCGAGCTTTTTCGTGATCGCATATGAGGATTCCGATATGTTTAGGATGGATCTATAAAAAAGACTGCCTTTTTCCTCTTTCATATTGGGTGTGAGAGTGAGCATAGCGGGCCACATAAAGCATTCTTTAGCTGTCCTAAAATCAAAGTACTTTGAAGGATGTTTCGTTCAGAGGCCTGGCTCCCCCGGCTGCCTCGGAGCTCCCCAACGGCAGGACCTGAGGTTACTAAGTCTAGGTAATATCCGTAGTTGCAACTTCTCAAACGGTTACGTAATTGTTGCTGGCGCACCTACTACGTTGCTCTGTGTTGTTGGCACTTCTTTAGACGGACACTTTGATAATACCACACAGCAGATTGCGCGTGCAGGTTTGACGCGAAAACTACAGCAAGAAGGGCAATCTGCCGCCGCTGAAGTGGGCTAAACTAAGCCTTTGCACTGGCTTTCCCTGGTTGTGGGGCTTACTGTAGTGCTCAGGTGCTACGGTGGTGCTCAAGTTGGTCCTCAAGTGGCCCGTCGGGCAGAATGAGTAAAAATAAAGTCTTATCGATACGCATCAAGAGACATTAGATAGAAAATCAGTCCATGAGGTGGAGAGTGCTCGGCATCAACCAAAGGTATGGGGCTGGCTCGGAGGCTCGCTCTGTCGCCTAGGTCCTGACCCACTAGGGGGTCCGCGGGGGTCAGATTTATAATGGCTGATATTATGGAGGAGATGGGACTTACATAGAAGGGAAGAGACCATTCTTCGATAGTTTAGGGTTAGTTCAAGGGATATTCGCAGAGTGCAGCGTTTATGTATCGAGTGTGCACCTCAGTAATTGTATATAGGGTTGATTAGTAGTACCAGCGGAGAGCGCTGTTTATGCACTTACTCAGCCCCAACCACACTTACCCGTTACTTCTCTTACCCAGGATACGGCTGATTCTTACCATAAAAGGCAAATACCGGCATTCTTCTTAAAGAACGTGTTCTCTGTAAAATTTGATAAATCCCTCTGTACTCCAAATACACTGAATTCCAGTTGGATTCTAATAGCACTGAAGCTTTGCCCCATGTTACCGACAGATCCGCATTCTGTAGGCAAACGCTGTCTTTGAACTAGTTCTAGAAGTACGGAATGCGAACAGAAGTGAAACAATCTGCATATTTCAGCTATTAGATAATTGTGGCCAGTCCTTCCTAATCCAGGTTAATCACTAAATGGGAGTATTCTGTCTGGGGCTCTGCATGGTCGCGCATGCACAACCCTCTTGCTTGTCGGACGAGCAGCGCCTATGAAACCCTCGTCAAAATGATCAGAAGTGCCAGAATAATCTGTGACAGATTATGAGGCAGCGAAACACTTGCATTCTTTGCTCTATTCCAGGGTTAGGAACGAACGTGCTGCTCTTGTTGCTTAGTCTCGATTCGAAACTGCCAATATAGTAGCCCGTTTCCGGCAAGAAGAATTCCAAGTTAGCAATTATTCACAGGCGGAAAAAAGCGTCATTAACGATGAGTACAGAAGCTGCCGTAGGAAGGACGGGTTGCCTAGAAGAGGAAGACCAATATGAGGCCTGCGACCCTTCATCCCACCATATTGGAAAAACCAAAGCATCCCTCCTAATGCGGCCCATTGCACGTGCGCTCACCTGCTTCCCTTGGGCAACGAGATGTTCGCAAATTGCGAACTTCACTGCAGAAGGAATTAGTGAAGCAAGCATTAGCGGAGGATTTGACGAAGCTAGACGAAATGCGTTCATACAAGTGGCAGAAAGTGTTAGCGGACCGAACAGACTCAAGTTTTTCAATTACAGGCCACAGTCCTACACTAGCTGGTTCAACGAATTTACGACCATGCCCAACGGCGATGAAAACTGTTCCCCCCAGGCTACATTGAAAAGGAGCACACTGGCGATGGAACGAGAAGAGATAGCTTGCGGCGAGTTTTTTCTCAATAACAGTCTCGTCGCATGAGCCTCTGCTCACCTTCAGCCGTTGCAGTACGGCAGGCAGCCTACTCTTCACAAAGTGCTTCACCGTCACCACCGCCTTGCCAATATATTTTTAGCCTGCCACTGTGTTAATTTGTCTCGGGTGCAGATTGTGGAGACTTCGGTGCTAAATCCATTGCTCTGCAGTCGATTACCAGAGAACAGGATGTGCAGACGGACCCGTACTCGCCCCAGTACATTTGCACTCCGGGGCCACAACCTAAGGAATTGGCGATAGCTCATCTGAGCTGGTCAAGGGGACTTCCTGCGACCTCTCGGGAAATCCGAGCTATTCAAGAATTGCAGCTGCAGCGGCGGCTTGACGAAGTTCTTCCACCTCCAACGGATGAGTTCTGTCTAGCAATCCGCACTAGCCTAATGGAACGTCAAGAAGTTTTAAAGTGGGCTCAACGAGAACGGGATATTCGTGAGCTACAGGTAAACTGTAACACATAAGCAAAATATAGCACATGTAAGTTGCTGTGCTTTTCAGTAAGTCAGCTTCCTGGACCAGCACCTGTTGCTGAATGTTACCCCCGCAACGTTTCGTACGACCGCCACGTGTAGGGAAAGCCACTAGATCTAGATAGGCAGCCCCTTATGGGGGTACTGGCAGTCACTTTGCGCAGGAGGAGCGTCTTCGTCTCGTGGAAGCTGCCCTGCGAGTGCGTGCCACAAAAATGAGGACCAAGAGCGAGGCAGCTCATCGAAGGCGGCAGAAGATCTTAAAGGAACGCTTGCAACGTAGGCAGTTGCTAATTGAACGGTCGCGCTTAGAAGGACTCCGCCGCCTTTGGTCCAGGCGCAATCAAATTACACAGTTGCTGGCAAGGCCGTTGTGCGCTGCAAACACGCTACGAAGCAGCACAAGATTTCAGTGCGTTGTTTCGGCTGCGAGGGATGGCTATTGCCCTCCCGATCCCTTCACCGCGCTCTCGGCAACTCATTTAGCATACGCAGATGTACGCACCACCACGGCGCATTTCTATCTCTTCCTTCGCTATGGATATATTCCCACGACTGCTTCAGCGTTGTGCTATAATCGTTTCGTACTGGCTCGATATATACAAAATTCTCACCGTAATGGTACTTTCAGGACTTCCTAGCCTTAGACGCCATGGAAGAACGGGTGTGCAACACCGTATCGTCAATAACTACTACCACGCCGCCTCTTCTACGGCAGCGAAAGACATATGCCGCCAGCCGCAAAGAGTTGGCTCACTCCAAGGCAGGTTGGCCTTTTTCAGTTTGCTCGGCAGCTATAAGGACGGTTTCATGACGATAACCGAAATCTGCAGTGAGGGCGTTTGGCTAATTTTTGGCAGCCTCGTTTCCCAACAACATATACGGCCCCCTTTCAAAAGGGTGCATTTACAACTCATGCGGATGGAATATAGGCTTTGGAGCGCACAGCAGCCATTCTGCAAAGAGAAGTGGCAACCGAGCTACTTACTGGGACAACCCTGCAGTTACAGATTGATCTCGCAGCGGCCCCTCCAGCGTACTCTGCTTCCGAAGGGAGCTCAGTTGCGGCGCGTCGACTCATGAAAAGAGCCGTTCGAACGCGGCCTGAGACACCGCGAGTTGCAGAGGTGAATTCAAAACGATTTTCCTGCATGGAGAACGAGCGTGAACTTTGACCTCACGATACGCAGTACATTCCCTCCTTTTAATGAACCATCTCTTAAAAGTATCCCCTGGCTTTTCACATGCAATGCCAGGGATGCAGAGGCATGCAAAAAGAGCTAGACAAAGGCCTATAGTGCTTTTTTAGCTCGTCCCAGGTGCCCATGGAAGAAGAGCTCGATTCCAAGGCGGTGCTACTTCTGCAGCAATTGCTGCGTGGAGCTACCAGGCGTCACTTAATGTTAAAGGGCAAGGAAAAAAGCCTGGATCTCGTAAATATGCTCCGCGCTGCAGAGCAGCTCCAGGATGTGCCTCCAAGACAGCAACAAGAGGCAGTAGATGAGGAAACAGCCTTGGAGGCAGCCGAAGTACTTATGGCTTCGGCTCAGGGCGTGGCTATTGCAGAAGTGAGTCCAGTGCTATCCTTCGCCGCAAAAATACCTCAATATGGAGGCTAACAAAGCTCCTTCTTTCCTTCCACAGTCAAAAATACTGTGTACGAGAGAGCGCGAATATGCATTGGGCAGATGCTTGACGAGCTAGCAAAGGAACAGAGACGCATGGAGGAAGTGCAGAGGATATCGGCTCTTGCGAATTTGGCTGTACGGGAGAGGCGCTTACGTGAGGCCCAGGAATCTGGAACTCGACAGGCTGAGGAAATGCTTCGGGAAAGAGAAAACCGTCTGTTTCAGAATGCAATGGGCATCAACAATCAAACCATTGATTCTTACCTCCAAGCTATCATTGAAAAGGCAGGGGCAGGAAATGCACAAGAAGAGGTAAAAATGAAGCTTATTGAGACTGCTACTGGCGTTTAGAGCCATTTTGCAACTCTAGGCTGCAATAGTCTGTAGAATAAAGATTACAGCGGCACCCAATGACAACAAACAGACGCACATTTCCAGGTGGTGCTATTGTTTCTGCAGGCTCTGTTGGAGGTTTGTCTGCATTCCGAGCATTTGGCTAGAGTTGTTGATGATCTGCAAGAGGGTCAAGAAGAACCACACGTGATTGTGGGGGAGCTTGTCAGGGGGCTCCTTATGCCAACCCTTGCAAGTCAGTGTCAACGAAGGGACAAACAAATTGAAGATCATAAATTCCGTGTGGCTGCTCGCCTTGCAGTAGAGGAAACAGTTGTAGGCGCCTTATCTAATCGGGTTCTAAAACTAGAGCGTGCAGCAGATGCTGGCGGCAAGACATGCTAAGCGCTTTTTGTCGTGCTCCAAAAGTTAACAAACGCTACTCCAAAGGGTGGTTAACAACGGTTTCTCCAACTTCTTGGCACGAATTTTAGCGTATCGTTTTCGATACACTCCCCTTTTTGAAGGTTTACATAGATAGGCAAGCGAATTCCAGAAAGGGTGATGCTTATATCAAAATGCATACAATTGCCATAACTGATGTAGTGGATACCATGTTTTTGTCGCCAAAGAACGTGGTAGGATACATGAGTTCCGTCGATTTCTTGCGGAGCAATGGCCCTACCGAAAACAGTCCTTCTGGTGATTCAGGAGCACACTTGTCGGGGTCGTCTTAACCGAATTCACGACCTGAATAAGTTGTGCTGAAGAATTATCGTGATCTAAGCAATGCTTTGACGTGCAGTGGCCTATTTTGCATCGATCCAGAGCTTCCGCCATAACGCTTCCTAAGCATGGTCATCACTACGTAGTTTGGCAGATACTGGGCAGCAAATGTTTACCGCAGTTTGTACTTCTCTTAGAGCAGTTTCAATCCCTTTCCCTGGGCCTAGAAGTCAAAAAACGCACTTGACTCTTTGTTGGCAAAAGCCATCTGGTGTGAACGGCTGAAATGCCGAAGCGAAAAAAAAGCCAACGGGCCTGCGCTGATGGCAACAAATTTCCATTAGCGCACCTCCAATAAAATGGAATATCCATCTCTGCCTGAATCCATACAGGTTTGGTTGGCTTTGTAAGCTGCCCGCTATAGGGCGGCCAGCTCCTCTATTCGAGCCCTTCCCGGCAAAGGCAGGCCATCCTCTAGCCTGCATACCTGACGCTCACAGCACAGGGTTTGCTGAGGATTTTGGGAGCGTGGCTGGGCCTAGCATGAGGCTGCTGAGACCGGCGCACCTCACTCCAAGCTTCTCAAGCCCCTGCTGCAGTCGTGAGTATTTCCGGAGCTGTGGTTGTGATCGCACAATTTGTGGGGCCAAAACACTTAAAGATTAGGTCCGAATATGGGCCATTGGGCAAGACATATTTGATGGAGAAGCAGTGAAATGAGGTTTCAGCTTTGCCTATGCAGCTACAGCTTCATTATCAAAGACCCATGGTCTCGATAGACTATTGTATATCCAAGGGAAAGAGGCCTTGTCGTGAATATTCCATCCACAGGGCGACAAACCGGCGCAGTGCAACGAAGAGAGCAATAGGGCAATTGTATTACCTGCTGAATCCTTCCATGCGAGGGGAGGGATGCTCAGCTTGAAGGGGGCGTATGGAGTAGTGGACCAGTGACGTTCTGACTGCAGTGCCATCCCTAATCCCTAATCTCTCGTATTACCATCTAAAGTCTTTTTCCAGCGCTAACAAGGTGAGGTATGTGGTTTTGGGCCCGCATGACGGCTGACTTGCAGTAGGAATAGAAGTATCGTGCGCTGCAACGCATGGCGCGCCGCGTCCTCGCCACCCCATCCAAAGACCCTTGTGCCGCTGCTCCCTGGACGCCTAAAAACCGGAATAGGAAGATATCATCTTTTGTCAAGAAAAATATTTTTCAATTGCCTAAGCTGGTAGTGCATGCATCAAAAGTTGGCTTTTGAGAAGTCTTATCATCAATATTTTGACTTTGTTTTACGGCAGCTCCAAGCCTATCCAAACCCCGTGCTTTATGCATGACCTGGCACCGTCAACAATTGCGTTGCTCCTCTTTGGCAGTCAGAATCCAGCCTGCGAGCAAGTAAAAGTGCACGTACCCACTACAGGCAAAGCACGCAACACCGTGAGCTCGCCAAGCTGGGCTGGATTGGCCATTACCATTCGCGCATGCCGATTTACTTCTATTCAATGCCGTAAGGGGTGCAAAGGCCGGCTACTAAGCTATGCTGTGGCCAGCCTGCAAGGCAGCCCCTAGCTTTCGGGGGTTACATCTCACACCGATCAGTCGTACGATATTCTTGTAGTCCCCTATTGGGCAATATTTATATCCTAGCCACACATAAAGCGTAGATAATAACTGATTAATCAAGCTGCTTTTCAACAAGTTCGGAAGCCCAGGGACTCGAATTCAGCACGCCCACGCGGCGCAGGCACCCATACCAAAAGGGTGAGTGGCGTCGCAGCCGACGAGACCGTCGTCATCATACATGGAACAGCTGGCGCCACGATACCGGTTAAGCCATTAAAATATGGGCTACAGGAGACTCCACCGACGGACCTTACCAAACAGGGGACAGAAACTAGCAAGAAGCGCAACTCTCTCGGAAAGAAGCGCTGGCGAGCGGGAGAAGGTTGAACACGCGCATATTTTAATGACACAGCGGCATTTTCAACAAGCTCTAGCTAGACTACCTAGTTGCTATGGCGCGCTGGTTTCATAAGTTCTTCCATTCGATTTGTTTCTGTTTCAATTAACCTGTCCACAAACATTCTTGTGGCAGAGTCGGCGCAAAACACCAATTGTTTCATTTCGCGATCCAGCAGTTGTTCTACAATGGCATCATGCAGCATCCAAATGCCCGCCAGTTCGTTTTCAAAACAAGCGCGTCCTCCATTCTCCTCTTTGAGGCGAATCAAGGCTTGTTGAAGGCTTTCTTGCTGCAGCAAGGGCTCTTCCTTCAGCTGCGCTGTTCTCCTTGACTCTCGAAAAGCTAATATCTTCTCCTCCACAGCAGAGGAAAGTATGCAACTTTGAATCGCCCCTTTGAATGGCCGTTCTTCTATCTCAGTGCTTGGTTTTAGTCTGATGGTTTCCCTGAGATTCGGAAAATTCGAGAATGGTCCAGGATGTTGCGCAGGCGCCGCTCGGATCTTCTTTTCTTGTATTCCTACCCTGCCTTCTGGTACTGCTGACTCTTTTTGCGATGCACTCGAGTAGGGCAAATTTTCTATGCTTTGCAAGGCCATCGAGGCATTGCAGTCCGTTTCTTGTAGGCGCACTAGACAACTTAAAAGATCACACGTTCCCTGGTTCAGGAGGCTGCCCTGCTGCTCTAAACGCATGTTTCTGCTTGTACAATCTTCCGCATTCTCAGACTGCGCGGCTTTCCTGTGGAAGATGTCGGCACTAACCTCCAAGCAGTCGAGCATTGGCGGCACGCAGTGGTTTTGGTGTTTTGAGTCCTCCTGCAGCCCATGAAACGTTGTAAGCGATCTCAAACAAGCAAGTTTCAGGAAGGAAATTCACTTCATTTCCTAGGAGACAGTGCTTGAACAATTCACCCGTGCACATACAGGGGGCGGGAGGTGTTTGACAGGTGTACTTGTTGATCAGCGCCGTGAAGAGCTGGAGGCTCTCTACACTTGTTGGTGCGTACTGCTTTGTGGACTGATTTTTCTCCTGTAGTGTATTGCGGTCTCACCTGAACGTGGTTAGTGGGATCTTCAACGGGCAAAATTGTCGATTCTGGCTGGAAGTCCTTTGCACCGGGCTTCAGCAAAGCCGATGCAGTAGGCGCACCCGGCAGGGATAGCTGACGCTGTCTGCTCAGCTTTTTTGCAAACGAGTCAAACTTCGACTGTAGGTGATTTGTGCCCAAGTCAGGATAAAGCTGTGTGACGTAGTGGGATCGCCTCGGCGAACAGTGAGAAGACGACTTTAGGCACGGTCTGGACTGCGCCGCAGAGGCAAGCGCCCCTCTTGGAAGCTCAGCGGATATCTTTTTGGCAGTTTGACGAAGCCTGCGCCGTATTCGCTTAATCAGTTGAAGCACTGCTTTTCTACGCAGTACCTGTCCTCTCTGCTGCTGCAGAAATGATAATAAGTTATTCTTCGCTTCTTCTGTGCCGTCAGGCGGGCCTCTTCTTAACGCCTCTGCCAATTCAATTACCACGCCTTCAAGCCAAAGATGGCCCTTGGCAGTGCTACCTTCTCGCATGCTGGGCAAACCTTGCTTAATTGTTTCGGAAGAAACACCGACAGCAACCCTTTGCTGAAGTTCGTGTACCCGGTCGAGCGTCTCGCTGAAACGGTGCATGCATCTTTTTCCAATTGCTCTGAAGCCTATGTTCCCTTGAAAGCCAGAAATAGTGTTTGAGTTAGTGCTTCCCCCGCAAAAATTTCGGTTGTAGCATGGAAGCATGCTTGTACCGAGTGCATCAGGGCCTGATGCCGTCCTAGGAAAGTTGGACGGCTGCATCCCTAAACTGTTTGCATTAACACGGTAACCTGAAAGGCACAGTTCCGCGCTAGGTGCCACATTAAAGGAACTAGGCTGTTTCGTCCGCTCCAGCATTTTCACTGCAGTTGTAGAATGGGCGTAATCTTGCGGAAAGCTGGCAGTCACGCGTAGAGCTGTGGCTGTTCCTCCCTTAGATCCGCTACTCTTTGTGTGGGCCTGCCGGCGCTGGATTCGACCGACCGATTTGTGCCGTGGTTGGGTCGGCAGTAAACTCTCTATTTGTTTGCTTCCTTGCATATCTATCTGCTTAGTAAAGCGCATTTGACCTGCCCAATCACTGTCGTGAAGCTTGTGTCTGCCCTGCGTCACAGGGACCTCCTCAGGACAGTCTATGGAGCTACATCTGCGTACGTTAACTGCTCGTTTAATCTTCCCTTCTCTAGCTATGGTCTCCCGGAATGTTGGGCCCGCAAGTAGAAGCTCAGACAGAGAAGGCTCCCTCTTCCAGCTGTGCTCTGAAACAGCAAAGCGCCCGTGGTCTACGTTTGGAATTTCCTCTGTGCTCTGTGAATGGTGGGCGTGAGAAGAATGCGAAACCCGCGGCACCTTTTCTCGCAAACGAACTGAAGGATCTGTGCTATCGCGTAGTCTCCGCCTCCGTTGCAAATCCCTTTTTCTTTCATCTGACTCCAGCTGATCTTTTGTAAATGTCGGATCAAAAAGCCCCTCAGGTAAAAATTTGATCCGTGAGGCCCGGTGGTAGCAAGCATCTGCGGCTGCCGGACGAGATTGTGCTGCAAATGATTTGTTTCCGCTGCGGTCTCTATTTCCAAAAGGAGAGTGTAGAGTTGTCCAGTGAAGTGCAGGGATTCCTTTCGTTTTTCGCCGATGCAGGGTTGTTAC